AATCAAAGGCATTTCTAATAAATAGTTCTGTGACAAATTTATTTAGAGGTAACTTTAATGAAATGTATGTTTCTTCACTTTAATGATTTTATTTAAAAAATACTTTCCTGTCTGGTCATTCCATTGTTTTTAATTTTTTTTAATTATAAAACTGAGATGCTGTTGAAATTTGTCAAAAACTAAAATTCTGGTTTTAAAAGGGCTCACATTGATTTTTTTTTCCCTTTGTTGTTCTGGCATTCTCACCTAATAATGTAACAACTTTTATCCCTCAAATAGTTATTTCACTAATTTTTAGTAAGTTGCTGAGCTGAATTCCTTCCTCAACGGTGATAGGATACACACAAACTTCCCCATCTACTCCCAACACACAGAACACACATGTCTCCCAAGTTTTACATTTTTCCATAGCATTTGTTGCCACCCAACATGCTACATATTTTGCTTAATTCTCTTACTGTTGTCCATCAAGTCCTAGAAGTCAGCAAACTCCTTGCAGGTGGTGAATTTTTTCTGCTTGTTTCAGTTTCAGCAACGATAATGATGTCTGGAACATGGCAGGGTGTTCAAGAAATATTTATTGAAAGGCGGAATAAAATGTCTCTGGAATTTTGCCTTTGCTCACCTTCCATCAGGCTCATTTCCCCTGACTTCCCCACGCCTTGTTCTTCTCATTTGTGTTCCTAGCGTTACATCCTCACAAATGCACTTCCTATTTGCTCTATGTTTAGTTATGTTCCCTCTGTCCTTTATCTCGTTTTCCTCATAAATCTTAACACTCTCTGAAAATTATGTACTTATTTTTTGTTGTGGCTCTTCGTGTCTATAAGGCTCATGATAAAGTGGACTTAATTTAACTTGTTAACCACCATATTCTCAACTCCAGACATTCGATTCAATCAATGTGGATTTGAGTTGATTTGAATAAATCAAAAAAGTAGGTGCAGATATCATCTATGGATGATTTGCTATGTAATCTGAGTAGTGGTAGAGTTTTAGAGTAATTTCTTATGGAATGGAAAGTGCTAGTAACAAATAAATTGATTACCATGTTGATCATCAAACTAAGTTTTGGGAAACTTAATTTTCCTTTAAGATGATGCTTGATCTGAAAGTCTTGTCTTTGTAGTGCACCCTGGCATAAGGAGCTTATTGTACAAGATCTTATCCCTCTTGTCTTTTCATCATGGTTCTGCCTGCTATAAATCTGTTTTCTGCTTGTCTTGAAAAGCATCTAACTTGTTGTGGATAAAGGTACAGCCATCACTCATTTGCACTGATTGAAAATTTTCCCTTCCATTGACTAGTAAGAACTATTATATTGTTGAGAAAGTAGTCTTATCACTAAAGGATACATTCCGTTGAGTGATGACTGTCCTCTGTTGGCAAAATAATATAGACACATGTTAATCATAAAAATTGAAGCAATATAGTGGAGTAAAAAGTAAAGAGCGATGAAAACACAGCTCTCGAGGGTCAGAGAATGACATAAAGGGTCCTCCACTGAAATCTCGGGGTCTTTAGGGCTGACATCAAGACGTATGTTGGGGTGCGATCTGATTTGAAGCTTAGAGATGGTTTCCAAGCTTACTGGTTGTTGGCAGAGTTCATTTCTTCGTGGCTTTATGACAGAGGTCTGCATTTCTTGCTAGTTACTGGCCATGTTTCAGTCTCAGCTCCTGTAGGTGCCCCTTAGGCACTTGCCAGGTGGCTCCTACCCTCCCAAGTTTACTTCTCAAAGCCAGGGGGAATTTATGTGTACTGCCTTTCTTTTAACAGTTCACATGATTAGGTCCTGCCCCTCAACTAAAATCTCCCTTTTAGTTAACTCAATATCACGGGATGAAGACCCTTCGTTACAGTTGCATCATTTATTTTTCCATAAAACTTGAATTCCTGGGGTGGTATCCAATGCAATTCATGGGTGGCTCACACAGTCAAGGGAAGGGAATTATACAAGAGTGCAGGTCACGGGATAGAAATCTTGGAGACCTCTTGGAATTCTACCAAAGCTGCTGTTTTTCAAATTCCTCAAAATATATATACATCTACACTTCCACTTAGCATTATCTAGACGTATGTTGAGGCCTGAAAGATCCTAGGGAGCTATTGTTTTTCATTTTATGCCAAAATTGCTTATTCCTCTTTCAGATGAAAAACACCATTTAGCAATTAATATTTTATGTACTTTTCCATGACGGGGACCTGAGCAAAGTAAGAGCTGAGAAAGTGTCTAAAAATAAAGATGCAAAATCGTGACCTTTGCCCAATTCCTCCTTTATTCTCTGAAGGACAATTAAGTATATTGTATTCTGCTTCCCAGAGTTATATCTCTTACTATACAGCTCCCTACAATGTCGACTATTCCCTGCAAATTCTACTCTTACTAATTTTCCTTTCTTGAAACACCCTTAGGAGCAGGGAGTTACTCAATTAAATTCTTTTTAATCAATCATTTTCTTACTTCTCTAGAAAGATTCATAAAATCAGATGGGCCCCAAGCAATGCTATAAAGGTTTCTATTTATTGTGGAAGAAGTAAATTAGCTCAAATTCATAATAATGGAATTCTGCCATAGACTATGATTAATTTCCTAAGAATAAAAAATAATCCTGTTTGTTCTATTCCTATTTCAAATATTAGAATTTTTGTTGGTTATAAAGTTAGATGAATTTTCCTTCTTCAGCACCACCATCCCCAACCCCCAAACACAGAGGGTAGTCAGCCAGATGGTCTGGATAAAGTCAACTAGAGAGAGGTCAGTATTGATTCTCTTTGCTGTTTCTGAGCTATTCAGTTTTATAAAATGGCATTGCCTAGGGGTCAGGGTCATGAAGAAGTAAGGCCATCTATGATATTATTACGGCATTTCTCTTAGAATTTTCTCCAGTTCTTTGATCACTGCACAGTACAAGTTTTTAGTCTCAAAATAATCCGTATGTACAAAAAGTTTCATTTAACTCCCTGACCACCAAATATTTGCTGGCTATGCAAGGTCAGAAGTTCTTAAAAGGCATAGACTATGTCTGATATCCTGATATCAGGACCAAAAAAAAGTGTGGAAAAGTTTCCAGAATTCTCCTTCCATTTCTGGGCTTGAAATGGACTTTGAAGTGGGAGTCGAGTCCATTAGGTGGGTGTGGCATGTTATAATCGAGTAGGTAAATAAAATGTAGATCTTGTCTAGAAAGAATTCTCTGAATTGTGCAAATAATCAGAAGCATTTTAATGTCTAGGAGAAACTAGAAAGGGAAGAGGGAAGCAATATTCTAAGAAGTTAACTCTAGGTCCACCAAAAGGAGTATGTATAAGGCAGGGCAGCTCAATTAGCTTTCTAGGCAGAAGGATCCAAGGTGTTAAAATCAAAAGTCTTACTTTAGAAGATAGGGGTCACCAAAAAAAAGAAAAAAGGAAGAAGAAGAAGAAGATAGGGGCCACTATGATGGAAAATTATCTTATTTAACATTCATAGAGCATTTAGAGTTTACAAAAATTCTTGATGTTATATTTCTATTCATATAACCAATAGCTGTAATATCAAGCATGGCATGTTTACATATCATTCTTTACTGTTACTGGCTTAAAGATAAATCAAAATTCCTAACAGGAAAGAGAAGGGAATGGAAGAAAATCAATATTGTATTGATTTAATAGGTAAATAGGCATGAGGCAAGTAACTAAAAATATGGAAAGTAAAATAAAGCATTGAGTGCAAAGCAGATAAAAGCATGAAAAAAATCGGGTGAATTAGATCAAATAAGGGAATAATTACAGGGAAAATAAATATGGATTCCCCTGAATGAAAATTATGGTGAACAAAACTTAAATGCCACATCTAGGAGGTGTAACTGCTCTAATAACCTCCGTGGGAGTGTTTGAGGATTTCACAGTGATTTTTTAATTTTCTTTTTTCATCTTCAGAGAAAATGCATAAAATGACAATCTTGTCCTTATGAGAGAGATATACCTCCTTTATTTCCCCCAGGTGTGCTGAAGCAAAAAACAGATGTGTGGACACAGCAATTAGCAAGTCACTGGAGTCATACGGGAGGGATTTAACTTAGAAAACAGAAACTTTTAAGGGTCCCTGAAAATCTCTGTTAATGTTAATTTCATGTTGTCTTAGTTTCTCATAGGTGATTAGAAGTTAGAGCCATTGACCTTAAAGTTTGTATAAAACACGTGGCAACACCATAAATCCAGAATATAATATTTTCAGTTACTGGGAACATAAAACTAATATTCAGCATAAAATTGAAAAGAAGTAGTAGTAAAGTTAAAATAGAGAACCAGTGACTTCATGGAAGAATGACTTCCAAATACTCTGTCTCACAATTTTCTTTAATTTGATCACATATGTTCAAAGCAAAATATCGGTACAATATCCTGACGATGCATTACAGTGCCTAATTATATATATAATCCTGAGAACACCAGAGACCAAAATGCTTTGTAAAATTACAGCTATGTATGGTTTAAATCCTGACATAGTCCCTTTTTAATGAAAAGACCTAAATATTCAATAAAGTTTAATAAAAGATGATATTGTCAAGATAAGAAGAGTGGTCCAAGAAAAAAATTTATTTTGTTATAGCAAATTTTTAACTGGAATATACGTTGTCTTAACGATCCAATTTCAATTTTATTGTGTTTTAATTACAGCTACCTCCACTAGATGTCAGTATTGTATAATATTAGAAAATGCTTCCCTTAAAATTTCTCTGGCAGTTTTAACTGATCTTATAAAATGAATAAGCCCTTCTTAAGCATGTATGTGTACATAAATGCCATTTTAATATATGTAACTGATTATCTCTACAAGTTACCTAAAATATTATACAAGTGAGTCATTCTGAAAATGTTTCCTTACCCACTAATTAAAAATTTTGAAACCAACACAAAATTGGTATTAACTTGCAAATGCTCTGAAACCATGTTCACCATCTTTGCCACTTTCTCTATGAATGTACCTCTTCATTTTTGATGTGTCCTCATTACAGCCATTAGATTTTGAAACAAAGAAGGCATATACTTTTAAAGTAGAAGCCTCCAACGTTCACCTTGACCACAGATTTCACTCCGTCGGCCCTTTTAAAGACACGGCCACAGTGAAGATCAGCGTGCTGGATGTGGAGGAACCCCCGGTTTTTAGTAAGCCACTCTACACCATGGAGGTTTATGAAGACACTCCAATTGGGACCATCATCGGTGCTGTCACTGCACAAGACCTCGACGTAGGCAGTAGTTCTGTTAGGTAAGAAAAGGAAATATTTTTATTTTCTGTGTGTCAGAAAAAGGAAAAAAAAAAATGCTCTGCCCAAACCTGGATGAATGATTTTGTTTGGTGATAGGAGACTTGGAAATGCAATGCCTTTGCATGGTGAGTATTAGGTGAAAAAGCCATAGAGTTTGAACAAAAACATCTGCTATCAATCCCTGCAACAGGGTTTGACGGTGGTGTGATGTTGGACCTGGCACTGAAGCTAACCAGGCTCAATTTTTTTATTTATAAGAGGCATTTTGTAATACAGTCTCAGAGTTTGATTTCCCATGGTTAATGATAGTAAGATACTTTCATAGTGCCTTAAAAAAGAGTGGACATGTACTACATTTTTCAATTACTCTAAAATTTCTCTTACTAAAAGTTAGTGTTCTTCTTTTGGTAAGAGAAATTTTAGAGTCCACATTTTCAATGTGCAGTTCATTTTTTCACTCACAATTATGTCTGTTGATGAAAAGAGTTAGAGCCAGTCCTGGGGTAGGATGAATTAAGGAATTGCTCAAAGCGCAGGCTTTACAAAGAGCTCCTAAGGATAGAAGGATATAAGGCTACTGGGTAGTGAGTCAACAAAGCCATCGATAGAGTAAAAAATAATCTCTTTCTCTCCTCCTACCCCAAACCCATACATTCCATTTGCACTACTTTCTGAAACACAGTGGGATTTCCCGTTCTCTCGCTTATACATTGATCCTGCAACATATTTTTTTAAAGATTTTATTAATTTATTTGAGAGAGAGAGGTGAGGAGGGAGTGGTGGGGGGAAGAACATAGAGAGAGGACAAGTAGACTCCATGCTGAGTGTGGAGCCTGATGTGGGGCTCGATCTCATGACCCTGAGATTACCAACTGAGCCAAAATCAAGAGTCAGAAGCTTAACCAACTGAGCCACCCAAGTGCCCCGGATCCTGCAATGTATTTTGAGACTTAACTATTGATTCAACTATGTTTCTTCTGTACATTTAAATTCCTTCTAGCTGTCCATATCCCACATGTATACAAGTACTGGGAAACCAAAGAGAGAGAGAGAGAGAGAGAGAGAGAGGGGAGACAGAGAGAAATACATGATTTGTTCTGAATCCTCCACCACTAAGGGGTTGAACCTTCATATAGAAAATCAGAACAAAGATAAGTAGGCTTTAAATACAAAAATACTATTGACATAGGGAAAAATATATAGACACATAACTAGTAAGATTTTATGCCATGGGGCAATAACAAAAATGCATAAATCATTCAGTGGTGACCTCAACACATTCATTCATAGCATATAGGAAAAATATCTCAGGAAAGGGCTTGAGGGCAGGCAGGCTCTGCTCTTTGCATTCACCTGAATCTATGTCCCAAACTGATCTGAGTATTCCCCTTCTTGAAACATGTCAGTGGTTAAGAGAGAACTCTAAAAAAGCACACTTGTCTTGGGAAAGAGAAGAAAAAAAGGCAATTACTGAGTGCTCCTACATGTCAGGTCGAATGCTGGCTAATTTACTCATTGGATTCAAGTTGTTGTTCTACATGTCCATATTACAACATGTTTCACTCTCAGTTGAACTCCAGAAACCCATATTTATTGCCAGTGTTTGTAGGGGCATTCTCAAGAATCAGCTCCATTAGTAGTTGTTATATATTAACCTGTTATCATTCATCAATCCTATACTTGAGACCCTGAGTATGATGTTGATAATTGTGAAAGTGGGAAATGCCTGGTGAGTAGATTTACAGGTAATTTCAAGAATATGAACAGTTATGGAAGAAATATGGAAGGCTGTAAAGAAAGTAATAAAAAGGTAAATAAATACGGGTTGAAACTATGGTTCAATAATGAGAATTTTAGAACACAGTGAACATGCTATGTTGTTTAATTTATTGTATGTTCTATCTTTGAAGATAGATAAAAGCATGTTAGAGTCAAAATATTAATGAAATATTGTTTTAAGGCAATATGTAAAAAAACAAAAAAATCAGAGAGTTTATTAGTAAAACTACCACCTGGTAAAGGTAAGGTGAGCGTTACAGACTTCCAAAGGTAAGAGCATGTTTAGAGTTAAGACCCTGGTGTGAGGAATAAAGGAAGGCTACATTCTTGAGATACTCTTGAATTACAGGACTGATTTTTTTTTGTGGGGGGAGACACAAGCTAGTGTCTGACAAGAGCTACTTTATGTGGGATAAAGTAAAATGCCTAGTCTTACTTATAATGGGTAGCAGCCTGACTCACTAAAGCTGGAAACACAGATGGATCTAATTGATCCCCGGGAGGGGTTATCAAACAACAGAGCTGCTTTTGAATCAACATGAAAGCTGTCTTACTTCCACGTCCTTGGAGTAAACAATAAGCTTGAAACATTTCAGTTGAGGAAATATTTGGTATGAATCATCTTTCTTTTGGTCTGAAAAGATGTTGGCTCACTTAAGAATGATAGTAAAAATATATTGTGAAAAATAAGCATCAAAATGTGAAATTGCTTGACATGTTTAGATATGCTCTGTTTGTTTTGTTTTCCTTTGCTTAACTGTCTTTTCACAGGGTTTCTGTGCGAGGTATTAATTTAAGGCTATATTATTCCATGCCAGTGGGTATTTTATTAATATCATTATTGTATTATCACCGAGCACAGCAAAGAACCAGAGTGCAGTGGCATTAAGCAGGGATTGAAGCAACTTTGGAAGAAAGGTTAGGAGTAATGAGTCCAAATGCAGTTGACCTTTGAACAATGTGGGGGTTTCAGGGCGCTGACCCTCTGCATAGTTGAGAATCTGCATATAACTTGACTCCCCCAAACCTTAACTACCAGGAGCCTACTGTTGACCAGAAGCCTAATGGATAACATAAACAGCAGATGAACACGTATTTTGTATGATATGTGGATTATGTACTGTATTCTTACAATAAGTAAGCCAGAGAAATAAAAATGTTATTAAGAAAATCAGAAGGAAGATAAAATACATTTACAATACTGTACTGTATAGAAGAAGACCCTTGTATTAGTGGACCATGCAGTTCCAACCCATGTTGTTCAAGGGTCAAGTGTATACCACGTCTAGTCCCCATCCCAAGCTTAATTTCTAGTTATTGTTTCCTTTACTCTTCTAACCTTTGCCATTGGATACACGGATTTCTTGCTTCTAATCTTCTAATGCTCTATATCCTTTGGCTCTTATTATATAAGTCATGGGAATGATTTCTTGTGCATCAAATGAGTGGAATGAGTGTGCCCACTACCAGTGAGTTGGGGGATTTTCACCACTGTAGTCTCTTAAGTTTAGAAATGAAATTTAAAATATGTGGGGTACCTGAGTTGGTTAAGCATCTGACTCTTTTTATTTTATTTTATTTATTTATTTGTCAGAGAGAGAGCACAAGCTGGGTGAGCTGCAGGCAGAAGGAGAAGCAGGATCCTTCTGAGCAAGGAGCCCAATGCAGGACTCCATCCCAGTACTCTGGGATCATTACCCAAGCGGAAGGCAGATGCTTAACCAACTGAGCCACCCAGGCGTCCCAAGTGGCTGATTCTTGCTTTTGGCTCAGGTCATGATTTCAGGGTCGTGAAATAAAGCCCCAGAGCAGGCTCCATACTCAGTTCGGAGTCTGCTTCCCCCCGTTTCCCTCTGCCTCTCCCCCTGCTCTCTCTCTTTCAAAAATAAGTCAATAAAATATTTTTTTAAATGATTTTATTTATTTATTTGACAGAGAGAGACACAGCAAAAGAGGGAACACAAGCAGGGGGAGTGAGAGAGGGAGAAGCAGGCTTCCCGCAGTGCAGGGAGCCTGATGCGGGGCTCGATCACAGGACCCTGGGATCATGACCTGAGCCGAAGGCAGACGCTTAACGACTGAGCCACTCAGGTGCCCCAAGTCAATAAAATCTTAAAAAAAAAAGAATTTAAACTATGTGAGCACTATCCAGTTACATTGAGAATTAATATTTGTTTTGAGTATGAGTGATTCATGTTATAGAGAGATTTCAGTGGATAATTTTGCTCATGTGTGTCATGTTTCTTTTTTTCCAAAGATGTAAAAATCTTCATTATCCTGGGAATTTTAAAAGAAAACTCCATCGAATTTATTTTGTGTATAAAATGAGAAAGTGAACAATTCAATTCTAAAATCAATCTCTTTAAGAAGTATTGGATGATAAGAGACTGATGACACAAAGTTAAATCTATTTTGTGCATATAAACTACCACATATAAGTTCAAAATTACAGAATTTAATAGAACAACTGAATAGTTCCTTTTTCATGTTACTTTCTTGTGTGTAATGATATTTCTAACCAAAACCTACCACTAAAATTGATTAATAAATAGAAAATCATTATGAGTTATCATAAGTAGATTGTGATATTTAAAATAACTAATGGCTCGTTGTTAAAAGAGAAGTGTTTATCTATGTCCCACTTACACTTAAATCCCATATCTGGTCTGTTCACCACACTTTTGGAAAATTTTCTATAATCAATTGGAATTGATTTTTTTTCATCACGGATTAAGGAACTATCAATGTAGCTGATTTTCATTTGCCAGCCCTTTCCAATACATCAAAATCTTATTATCTGGGCAGAAATTTGAGCTCAAGTATAAAACACCCTTAGGGAGTGAGAGGAAAGAGGGGCCTGGCTTATCAAGTGTCATCCTATAGCAACATATATAATTTATTTTAAATGTTAATAGGAAAAATTCATAATTCAAAAAATTGCCCACTCTCAGACATGAACATAGTCAACCTCTACTTCAGTGTCTAAATTCCACACTCCCTTTTTCGTTGTCCCTAAATTTCTTTGAAATATTCCAATACCAGGTTTTATCTAGTTTTTCTTCCCATACCTACCTCATTTGGACACAATATCTCTTTTTTCACTTAACATTTTTCATCTCTTTCACTTATTTAGCAGATTTTTGTGAGGATTAAATGAGGTATTGGTATAAAATATTTTATTTTAATGTCTTTAATATTTTTAGAGCAGTTTAAGTTTACA